GATTTGGCCCAAAATGACCTTCTTCTACCCGGGGTTCTCAGCCGGGGGTCTTTCTTCATGGAGTTTGCGTGTTCTCCCTGTGCATGTGTGGGTTCTCTCCGGGTACTCCGGTGTTCTGTCAGATGATCATAGCCAATACGTATGCGCAGGATTTGTGTTTATCCCTTTAGTTTTGTATGAAAAATAGTAAACTGCAAAAAACGATAAGAAAAATAAGTCAAAATTAAGGGTAATTACACTTAATTTTAGTAGGTGCCAATGGAATGATAATTTTTACTCTTAAAGTAAGATAATTAGATAATATGCACATGAAATAAGACAATTTAATTGTTTAATCTTATTTTAAATGTAAATTGGCTTCTTCAAATGGTGTCTAACCTCCTCAATTCAAGAACAAATGCACTTACTTTAAGAAAAAATGACTCATTTAGATTAAAATTTTTCACAGTGTAATTAAATAGTTTGCTTGTACATGGCTAAAGGGATACACGCTGGATGAGGCAGTTTAAAGTGTATTTTCTGTACAAAAATAAAGGGATAATTTAAAGGGGTATTGACTATAGATATGCTCATCTGACAGAACACCAGCTTCCTCCCACAGTCCAAAAACATGACGGTTAGGTTAAATGGCTTCTCTAAATTCTCCTTAGATGTGAGTGTGTGTGTGAATGGTTGTTTGTCTCTGTGTTGCCCTTGGCAACCTGTCCAGGGTGAACCAAACCCTCCCGACCCCAGCATGGATAAAGCGTGACAGAAAATGTATGGATCAGGGTTTATACTAGAACGAGTACCGGTATCTCTAATTTAATGGTCTTAGAAAAAATTTTAATGCCATTCACAAGTACACCGCAAAAAATCTAAATCTAGACTAGTCATTTTTTTCTTAAAATAAGTGCATTTGTTCTCGAATTGAGGAAAAGACACATTCTGCCAATGGAGCAAGACAAAATACACTTATTTCAAGTGCATATTATCTAATTATCTTATTTTAAGCGTAAAATTACTCATTCTATTGGCAAACTATCTCATTTACCTGCTCAAATGAAGGGTAAATACACTTAATTTAGGAAATTTTTACCTATTTCTAGATCGTTTTTGCAGTGTACCCATGACACACTCTGTCTCTCTCTGCAAAATCCTTCCCAAATTCCTAGTTTTCCAGCCACTTTTGTTGAAATTTGCATTTTGCCATTCTCTACATTTTTTTTCTCCGCCTCAAGCTTCTTTTCCGAACATGCAGCTTTACGATCAACTGGAAGCAGTTCTGCTCAAACACGCAGAACCAGTTATATCTGATGTAATATCTTACAAAATTGTTTATATATATATATTTTTTTTTTATTTATTTATTTTTTTTTAATAAAACATTTTAAATGCCACTGTAATCACATTTAATGAATGTTAATGCAAATTAAGGCCTTCATTAAAAAAATAATAATTGAATGACTTTCGAATGTTTGACGTTGCTCTAAAAAAATCCAGTTGTGCAGCACTGTTCATCTTTCAGGTCAAATATTTAAAACCTTTTCGGTTCTCTTCAGATCACATAAACTCTAGACTTCCTTGTGTATTAATGCACCGGAAAAAAAAAATTATGCAACCGCTTTTGGCATTTACTTAATCATATTTAGTTATTTTAACACAATTGTTTTATGTCCTACCCTGCTAGCATGAAACAATTGTGTTAAAGTAACTACATATCATAAGGTTAATGCCAAAAACGGTTGCGTTATTTTTTTTTCAATGTGGCGGATCATCTTCCAAGTTTTACATCTTTTCTTTGTCAGTGTTTTATTGTCATTCCACTGTCACAAGTACAGAGCAATGAAATGAACCCTCTGCATTTAACCCAGGGAGCAGTGTGGGGTTAAAAGGTCTTGCTCAGGGACCCAGAGTGTCAGTCAGTGGGAGTGGAGCTTGAACTCAGAACCTCTGGATTCCAAGCTCTATGCCCTAACCACTACGCCTCCACTACCCTGCTGCACAAACAGGTTAGATAAATGGTTATTTGCAACTTCTAGTCATCAGACATCCTGTTTTTAAACCATGCAGACATATTTCCACTTTTCCACTCAGGCTGGGTTCTGTGTTCTCCTCATGGTTTCAGCTGCAGCACAGAAACTGAACTCAGGTCAGTCACATGACCTCAGCTGATTGATTTGATGGTTTCCAGCATGAGGAAAATGTAGCAGCCATGTTGTTTTTCCTCATCCAACTGTTTTTATTTTATTTATTTTTTTACTTTTTTTTCTTGCTTTATAAAAAAACTTAATTTGTGCAGAAATCACATGAAGCAAACATGTTTGGTGCCCATCAGCTGTGGCCCCTGACCGGGGCCCTGAGGACCCACCTTGGGGTCTTCCCTGTGGAACAGCTCTGCATCCTCCGTGCTGTCCAGCATGATGTTGGACCGAGCCTCCTTCCCTCCAGAGGCTCCATCTCTGAGGGACCTCTCGCTGCCGGAGCGATCGCTGCTGCTGTTGCCCATCCTGAAGCTCTGCAACACAAACATCCAGATCATCATCAGGTAGAAACACAGCAGCTTATAGCAGGCGGAGGGAGGACCCACCGAACCGATCCCAGCTTAATCTCCGCTCCGCTGCTGGGGACCAGCTGCATGGGTCTGAGCTTCAGCTCCAACAAAGATCCGAAGTCTGCCTTCAGCCGCTGCTTTCCGTCTCTGAAGCGGAGAAGTTTCCGTGTTAGGAAAAAACACAAAGAAACCCTGAATAAATAGATAGAGACTGACCGATAAAAAGAGTTTCTCCACAGGGTTCCTCTGTTCTCCTTCCTATTTGTTTCCTGCTCCTGTTGTTTTCTCTGTTTTCGCCATTTAGAGGAAACTTGAGCGCGTGTCAGTGAGGGAGGACACACCTCTTCCGGCTCCA